TATATATATATATGTGTGTGTGTGTGTGTGCGTGTGTGTGTGTGTGTGCGTACAGGTCTCTATTTACAAGTTCTTTACTCAAATCTTTTATCTCTCTTGCTAATGCACATTGCCTTACTTGTCGACACTCATGTACACATTTAAAGCCGCTGTACCAGAGTCAAATTCTTCGTGTGTCCAACACACCTGGCCAGTAAAGCCGATTCTGATTCTGATTCAACGGGATTATTTTAAAATATATCTATAACTTAGATACAGTTTATATATTTTTTAATTTTAAAACGTAATAATTCAATTTTAAATTTCATACTACACTCCACTTGATACTACTTATATAAAATATTTGCTTTATTTTGAAACCGCAGCATTGGCGCACTCTCTGGCTTGTTTGACGCAGATGGACGTTTTATTTGATACGCCCCATTTCCAGCGTTGTCCAATAACAGACTAGGCAAATAAGTCAAAGTGGGCGTGGCTGAGTTGGAGGAAGTGCTATTTTGGGCACGTGTTGGGACGTGTAGTCAGTGGAACAAATTGAGCTTACCGTAAAAGTAAGCTTAGTGTTACTGTTTTTTACTATAGCAAGACTGATAACACTGGTAGGAGTGCATAAACATTCATATGTGGGGCTCTTGGTTGACTCAAAAGCAACACATACAATATAATATAAAAAATATTTTATTTCAAAAGGTGTGTGTATGCAGCAAATTGGTGTAGGTTTTAAAAAAATATTCTTATCCATAAATGTATTGCTGTTTAGACACATCACTTCCTTTTTAAGTTCATTTAATGCAGAATATAAGGTTTTTGTTTCACATAAGCCTGAAAATGGTTCATATCTGTTCAACATACAGTGATTAATATCTCAATTGTAATATTGGCTGATACTGTTTATACTTAACAAGTAACAGGCCTTTTTCCATGTCATAGTGGGCACAACAGCTGCAGATTGCATGCTCTCTTCATACAGTGGCAGTAACAGACGTTACAAGGTCATATTGGAATTTACACAAGCCATGTATATACATTATTTTTTACATCAAAATTATGGCAAATTATGTAAAAACCTTTGATGTAAACTATGAAGGTGCACACCTGCATCAGGTGGTCAAATAATGTTTGCTAGGTGGGTGGATTTTACCCAAAGGCCACTATTTATAAACCACTGTAATATGTTATGGCTCTTTAGATTAATGGAATCTAAAGTAGAAAAGCAATGACTCTTTGATTACTATAGACCCCATTTACTTTTCTCTATCAAAAACCCGGTGCAGCATATCTATTAGAAATGTGCTCTTAGAACGCCAAGTGGAGCAAAGGATAATGTGTTAATCAACATAAAACGTCAGCTGATTGGTTCGGTTTGTCGTGTGTGTGTTCAGGGACAGGCCCTATTTAGTGGCATTCATTTGAATTTTTCTTTGCAGAGCAGGTTTGTTTGTTGCTGTTAGTTGCTTTTGAGAGTTAGTAGTGTTATAGCAGATTGTGTATTTAGTGGAGAATCACTGTAGATAGATCAATAGATAGCTAGATAGTAAGTTACATAGAGAAATAGATAAATTAGTTACATAGTTAGATAACACTAGATATAGTTACAGAGATGGTCCTAAATAACGGTAAATATAGATAAAATATAACATATATAGATATATAAAGAGAGAATAGATTACCTATCTAGCTATACATATCTAGATAAGTTACACAAGCACACCCTCTTTACCAATGAACCCCAAAACATACGTTGCCAAAGCCCATAATATATTCTGTATTTGCACCAGTCCCATGTAAAAATGACATCTCTCTGAATTTGTAGAGCACATCTCATTAATGTAGCAACACCATTTAAATGTTTCATAACACAAAGTATAAGTGAGGAGTATATAGGGTTACAATCAGACATGCCAAATAAGAAACATGGTCTTCAACATGAGCTCATATCTATTTTATATTTTACTGTGTCAGCTTGAAACCATACAACCATGTAGTGTAGTGGAACAGGAAAATGTATGGTGAATAAAATCCCAAACAATCCATGAACCAATGACACATCTTGATTGCACTTTATTGACCACTAGATGTCCTACTCGAGCACTGTGTCATTGAAGCCTCCAGTAATGAACCATTTTTGTGAATACTGTGTCAAAGCTTCAACTAAGCATCGATCACCCATCACTAACCAGTGGTAATGCAGCCCCTTGTGTTGAAACACAGAGAGATGCGTTTTACCCCACTCAGTCTGAATGTAGACTTAGCATCTTAACCACCATCATCAAAACACCAAGTAAGTGAATATCGAAGAATGGCGTTCATAACTTCAGTAGAGTTCAGAGACTTGAAGAATCAAAGCCAAGGTGCACCAATGCTGTTCTGGTGGCACATGGTGGCCCAACACCTTACTAAGACACTTTGTTGGGTTTTCATTTGTACACATTTATTCACTTTATTTTCATTTGCTTTGTTTGTTCACAATTATTAATATCTCAACCTTAGAAATCTCCCATAATTCCATCTACATATCAAGTAAGCCCCATGGTGTCCAAACTCCAAGCTTGAAAAACTTATCAGTTCCATTCAGGTCACTTCACCAATGCCAATACGTTTATGTATACAAATAAGTCTCGTAATTTGTTTTCTACCTTTCACCAACAATCCAGTTCTAAGAAGCCTTTATCTGCTTGGCATTTTCATTCTTGGGTGGTATGATGTGAACCTGGAAGGGGATAAAAAACTCTAGAAGAGACTTTGTGTCTTTCAATTCTAGAGAATATTCCTGAGCAATCTTTTCTGCAGTCCATGTCTGAGGCTGCTGTTGGTGGCTACCGAGGGCCTTCAGAGCCTCAGTGATGGTCAATTTGCCTTTAGGAACATCTGTGAGGTCCATAAGGCCATAGAAGTCTCCTTTTAAACTGAACCTGAGCGGTCGGCGCTCCACTTGTTTATCCACTTTCACTTCCTTTGATGCCTGTGGGAGGATCAAGGATAAGAAAATTAGTCTAGGACACTTAAAAATGCCATTGTTCTGTTAAATAGGAACTTTACTGAAGAGCATTTCCTGTGACTATCTTTAAAAAAAAAAACCTATATTCAGAGGTGTCTCTATATCTTTGTCCTCCCCATCTACATACATTAGAATCTCAGAATATTAGTAACACCTCTGAATATAATGTAGTCCAGTACAACACCACCTTTAACAATGACCTCAATAATAAACATAATTGAATTTATACAGTAATCACAATTTCACCAAAAACTGAAACATTCTGAGCTTCATAAACATAGATGTTAAGGTGGAAATGTTGCATTGAAGTGCATACAATTGTAGAGGTGTTACTATTAAAAGTGGCTGGGCAGTGTGTGAAGTCAAGTGACTATGTAAAATGAAAAAAGGGGGATGTGTGTGGTGAGGAATCCAGAGAAAACTGTCACCCAACTGTTCCCCTCAGCTTCATGGAGCATTTCAGCTCATTTTAGCTCACTGCTTTGGTTCTGGCCCTCAACTTTACATTTTTCCCCACTGTCACCAATGACATCAACCTGGTTTTTCAGCTGATAATCAGTTTTCCCCAAGCTCAAATAAACCCCACACCTGCCCAGCACACATACAAAGTTAGTAACTAGGTTAGCAGTGCATCTGGCAGCAAAAGCACCAGATGTATACAATTTTTAACATAGTGGTGAGTTCTGTTCCCAAGTGGCCAAAAATGGCTCGAAATAACATTGTAGACCGCTGTTTACCGATGACATTGCCCTGGCATCTTTGTGGTATGGACTGTAAACACCCAAGAATACTAAACTGTTACATTATTGTTACAGACATTTCAAATCACCGTTTTAAGATGCAAACTCCAATGTTTTCTAACAATCAGAAGTTATTACAAGCAGCCGTTTTGATTTAAAGCATACAAGTGATCTGGAAATGTATATGCGAACACATTGCTGATATTGTAGCTCGTCTTTCCTACATTGATGTTTTTGTGTCACCATAGTGTAGGCTGTTTTGATCAGGTGTCTTCTTGACTTTTTTTTTTTTTACTTTGCACCCAGCTGGCTGGGTGCAAAGTAAAAGCTTACGACCTCCTTCTTTCACCATGCGCACTCTGAGGAAGGAAAGTCAAGACACTAAATTACTTAAATGGCCGTAAATATTATCATGTGCAAATGTCAATACAGCTTAATATATAAATAGCCTTGATATTCGATTAACGTTAACCCCGAGTGTACTCAATAAGGCACAACCCCAGCCCACCACCAAAGGACGCGTTCAGCGCCCATGCTTGCCTGACCTCTGCTGCTGGTGCTGTATCCTTCGACTCCACATACACAGACCTGAGCAGCTTCAGCAGAGGGTCGTTCTTCTGGTTGATTGAATCCGCTGCTAAACCACACAAATGTTCATGAGGTTTTATGAGAAACTTAATTAGTAACTTACGTCTGAGTGTTAGCAATCCACCTTGCATTACCCCCGAGGTCACAGTCACACATGTTAGGGAAGGTTCCAGACACTCACCTTCACAGCTACCGGAGGACGGCGGAAGGCTGCCCGCGTGTCGGGGTGCTGCGCTTGGCTTTTCCCTGGAGATTTCTTGGTGTACTCGGTTTTCTAGGTTGAAATTTCTGACCATTCGCGCAAACCGTGCCCCCATGTTTAACTAGTGACTGAAGACCGCTATTAATAAAGTTCGTTCAAACCGCCTACGGTGAGCTAGAAGGTTCACATCATTATAAAAAAGGCGAAAACAGAAAGTAGCAGTGACACCATGTGGTTGGCTTGGGCTTTGAATAATGCTTGATTTGTAAATACGGTTCTACTGTATTTGTGCATATATATATTGTGCACTTCATATATATATATATAACGAACAGCCTGCACCTGGGAGGGATGGAAGTGGAACAGTGAGGTTTGCGGATGCAGGGGGGCTCAGGTCAAGAAGGTGCAGGAGTTTAAGTATTTGGGGTAAACAGTCTAGTGTGATGGGGAGTGTGGGAAAGAGGTGAAGAGGCGAGTGCAGGCAGGTTGGAGTGGGTGGAGAAAGGTGTCAGGAGTGTTGTGTGACAGAAGAGTGTCAGCAAGAATCAAAGGAAAGGTGTACAAGACAGTAGTGAGACCAGCTATGCTGTATGGGTTAGAGACTGTAGCAGTGAGGGACAGCTCAGGTTGCTGTTTTGGGAACAAGGTCAGAGAGGCCAGATTGAGATGGTTTGGACATGTGCAGAGGAGGGATAGTGGTTATATTGGTAGAAGGATGGTGGAGATGGAGCTGCCAGGCAAGTGGTCAAGAGGAAGGCCAAAGAGGAGATATATGGATGTGCTAAAAGAGGACATGAAGTTAATTGGGGTGAGAGTAGAGGATGCCGAGGATAGAGTTAGGTGGAAACAGATGATTCGCTGTGGCGACCCCTAACGGGAACAGCCGAAAGGAGAAGAAGTAATTAATTGTTTTTACAATTATAATCACTGCTATGGCAATTTGACCATTTCAAAAACATTATTACAAACAGTCTGTAAACATTAAGCACACTCTTTTTGCTACAACCACAGTGAAAATCAAAATGCAGGCTAAACAAAAGAGGCTACAACTGCATAAAACTGAAAAGCTTAAGATTTCAGATAGATTACACCATCTTGGAAGTGATGAATGAAGTAGGTACTGTATGTTAAATCGTTTAATAATATAGGATATTACTTTGCAAATGTCATTTTGTAAATGTAGCACTTATCTGATAGGCCATTATGAACAGGTTGGCAACAGCTACTGGTATTTGGTCATTACAAAAAGAATGTGTCATATATGCTCAGAATGTGCATTTGTCAAAATATATAGACTATTAATTTATGTTAAAGTTTGCAGGGTCATATCTATGAATACATCTAAATATATACTGTAAACTCTTTTATATTCTAAATTTATTGGTTAGTATTTATATTTTTCCCTTAGAGTGACAAGATACAAGTAGATATATTACTGAGGCTTTCTCAAATAAATAAAAATAAATATTGCATTGTTTATTAGATCATTCTTTAAAGATTAATATACGGTAGGGTATATCTTTCATAAAAGCTATTTATTTAAATTTTTCTACAGGGATTCATGTATGTTTTTCACCACAAGGAGACACTGTTCATTACTTCAAAACAGTGCGGGGGAGAGATGTCTATGAACCTGCAGGCACCATTCACAGGCCATCCTGTTCCTGTCTAGTTTATCAAATCCAAAATATAAGATAATGTGATGAAATGTGACAAATACTGAGTCACTTCTTTGCTTCCTTAGAAGTATGACAGAAAATGTTTATATTGCAATCTTAGTTTTGCTGTCCTCTATCTAAAAATACTGTGGAGACAGTTAACAGTGTGTCAAAGTCCTTCCTTTTTACACATACTCTCTGCTATGTGTGCATGTAAATCTTATGTTTGACCTCATGGGACAATCTAAGTTAAGGGTCAGTGAGAAAAAATTATGCTTTTTCTAGTTTCTCATCAAGGTGACAAAAAGAATATCATCCAGTACTGGCAAGACTGCAGTTTTAGGCTATAGGCATCAGCAGTTACTTCTGGGAATGTGTTGTTTACTGCTTCATACAGTAATCACACATTTCACATAAACATTGATAGTTTTTTCTAGCTATAATCATTCATCCAGTTCACACTGGCCATTTAGAGGTACATTCCAAATATGTCTTTATAGTGTGAAATTCCTGCATTGTGATACTATCCCTTCATTGCAGCTAAACTGGGAAACACTGTCAGGGAAAACACAAAGACTCACAGATAAGGACTTCATTTGACTGTGGAACTCTACATCCAGCCAGAGCCCTGACTTAAACCCAATTGAGCATCTCTGGAGAGACCTGAAAATGGCTGTCCACCAACGTTTACCATCCAACCTGACAGAACTGGAGAGGATCTGCAAGGAGGAATGGCAGAGGATCCCTAAATGCAGGTGTGAAAAACTAAGCTAAAATAATTTTAGCATATGGCTGCAATAAAAGATGCTACAGCACCACACAGTGGGGAAAAAAATAAAGCCAGTTAGCCAGTTACAACACATATAGGACCAGTGCAAAGTCTGGATACGCCTTCTCACTCAATGCTTATTCTTTGTTTCTGTTGTTTTCTACATTGCAGAATAATACTGAAGCCATCAAAACTATGAAGCATATGGAATTACTGTATGTATGCAAAAAGTGTAAACAAAGCAAACGTGTTTAATATTCAGGGGTCTTTGGAATTAAAGTACACCGTTTTCTTTGACAACCATCAGGAGGAGGGTGCCTGGAATTGTTTTCACAACATGTGTTGCTTATCAGTTATTTGGTGATACATCGTGCCTTCGTAGTGCAGTAGATAGAGATTTGGGGAAAACTGTCAGTCTACAACTGAGGTGCATGACTGACTCTGAAATGTGCAATCAACACTCTCAAAATGCACACGACCTTAGGCAACCCATTGCTGAGGGGTGGGGTGGCTTTTAGAGTGAGACAGAGAGAGGGGGTCTTGTGCAGTATCTTAGCTGTCCACCACTGCTATGCACCCGGGGTCTTGCCTGGTATGGTAGACCCCTGCCTTTATTGATCTTGTTCCTGTGCTGCCAGGATTAGAGCCTCTGTGTGGCTCTGTGAAAAATAAGAGTCACACCAGCTTGGACATCACCCGGGTCAACAAGATCTGTCAGGTGTTTAAGAACCAGGGAAAACTTGATGAGAAGTGGACTACTGGAACAAGACATTCATGGACAAGAGAGAACAGGGAACTATTGGAATGCTACTATACAAGTAACTCCAGTGAGAGGGGTTACATATGGAGGATGTGGGACCTATGGAGATATACAGGTCTAATACATTTTCATTTTTATCTCTTCATATTTTTATATTGACTTATACAATTTTTTTGTGTTATTTATGTAAATAATGTGTCTTTTAAGCCGAGAGCTGCCGGAAGAAATTTTGTTGTGCTATGCATAATGACAATAAAGATTCTTGACTTGACTTGACTTACCTTAAAATTGTGCTTACTGTAATTTGAGTAAATGTAGCCTACTTTCCACAACTCTTAAATCCCTGACATATTAATCTTATGATACGGGATGGTTGTGTATGAACTACTTTGCCAATTATGAAAAATCTGATTATTTTGACATTTCTATCCTCCAGTGATACCTAAACCATTTTACTCTGAGTAGGAAATTCAAGGAACATAACTTGAGAAATGCTTCTGATCACAAGGAAATTCCAATGGTGTTTCAATGTCTTCTGGATTTCTTTAAATTGACTAGATTGTGGTAAACTGTAAAAATGGTAATATTAAAAATGGACATAAGCTGTGTAAACAGATGCACCTTGCCCCAAACACACACACATATAGTATATACATATATGTACCATATATAGATAGATAGAAACAGTAGATAGATTGATAATTCAACAGTTCTCAGTGTAATAATAAACTGGATTGAGCATTTCTATAGTCAACACTGTAAAACAAGATGAGTTGCATGGCCAGCAGGTGGCAGTATTTCATATTCAAACACATTCAAAGAAGCTTTTTTTAAAAACAGGTTTCATTCTGAGGTTAATATAATCTTTGCAGGTTTCAAATATAAACAAGACCTCCAACGATTTGTCACAATGAGATTTCCATTTATTTCATTTCCAGCCCCACATGTTAAGACCAGGCCAGACAACAGAGGTCACTTTTTATATAAGGGAAGCATGGAGGACATCTGGGATTGATTATCTGCTTGGTCATAAGAAAACAGCCCACAGAATTTTTGTGAGGACAGGAATGACAGGATAAGATGGAGTAAAAAGTCACAAAGTCTCAGTCAAAGATTCTTTGTCACCCTACATCAGAGCTCAGCTGGGTTCCCCTCAATGAAGGTGCTGATGAATAACACAGATCAGAGGTTGACAGTTTTGTTCCACATCCAAATAATAATAAAAATAATAAACATCACAACAGATATACTGTGAAAATGATTTTATTTTGTTGATGATGAAAATACAGTACCAAGCTCGGAGTGGCTCTTTGCACGAGGGTGATTTTGATTGGTGTTTATAATTCCCATCCAGTGTTCTTTACTGTGTGGAGCCTGTAGATTTAGCAGCTCCGAGGCATGTTGATGCATGTGAGGCGAGAAGGGTGAGGTGCAGTTGATTGTCTAGACTACTGACTTAACTGAGATTTCCAGCAGATGTGTATCAGCATTGTCAGTAGATAAATGAAACCTTCTGCTATTCAGAAATTCAACACTCTTAAGGAATGACTTAAGAAAATCACAGTCCACTACAGATTATGTGCTCTTTTTAATGGGACATTGATTCCACTAGTAAATGGACTAACTATTACATGACTCCTGAACTGTGCTTAATAACCATTTTAGCTTACTGTAGTATATCTTTAAACGTTATACTATGGTGGCCAACTCAACACCCCAATTCAAAAGATATAGCCAGTGATATTGTAGTTTTCTTTTCTTACAGTCATCAAATGCAGACCCAAACTAACAAAGCCAGATACAACTGTGACATAGAGCTCCTCTGTTGTCTAAAAACTATTACAAACACATCACACTGTTGCACTGGGTGACAAGTTCTTTCATTACCATAAACACACACTGCAGTATATTTTGACTCAGTCCCACATACATTGTCCTGCTGCAAAAAGGACAGTGTATGTGGGACATCCGGTCCTACTCACTAGAGCAACAGGTTAATTTGCCACTGAAAATACTAACTACAGTGCCCAAATGTTTAGGAACATTTCTGAGCCTTAAAAATGAAACTTTATGTCCAAACAATGGGCTTGGATCTCATAGCGACAACTCAGAAAGTGAGACAGAAGAGCACATTATTAGTTTTGTTCTGTTAGTAAAATTTGATGGCAAAAAGATAAATACAGATATATGTCAATTATCCTTTAGGAAAACAGAAATGAAAAATACAACACACAGGTTGCATCCGGAAAAACATAAAGCATAAGAAATTTTTAAAAAACATTCACTACATGTATACAACAAAAAGAAATATTTTGGAACATGTTGCCTGCTCATTCTGGAACCATTTCGTCCACGCCCACTGCGCACGGACCTTGTTGATGATTGGTCTGCGAGAACCGCATCGATGCACTTCCTCTCCCGTGATAATAGGGGTTATGCGCAACTTACTTCCGTATACTGCAAAACAGAATCATCCGTTTCCGGTTTGCGACTAGTATGAAATATGGCACTGTTCTACTCAAGATGTCTCCAAGAACTACCAAATATGAAGATCACGGATGTCCACCGAATATGCAGTTCCACGTCTAAAACACCGGGCAGCAAGCTGGATAAGGGTTTAAGCTATATGCTTCTTCATACATCCACGACTACGAAGGTAGAGTTATGTATGGGTTATCTTACAAATATTTTGAGAAAAAAAGTTTATCTTACAAACGGAGATGTAGCTAAGCTAGTTCGTAAGCTAACTAGTAAATGCAATGTATGTGTAAGTGGCGTCGATCTTCATTTCTTTGAGCAAAAGTTGCAGTGCTCTCTGGGCCACCATTATCTCTATATATTTACCTGTATTTCTGACGTCACATGTTCACTGATACAACACACAATGAATGCACACCTATGCATGTAGTACTTTTATTTACAAATGGTCAAAAAGAGTCCATAAAAATATATCTTGCTTTCACATATACACATTTAAATGTATTTCTATGAACTATGTAGACAGGATAAATTTCAAGTACAGCTGTGATGACTACATTGTTGTGGCTAGCCTTAAGCTCTTTAATAAAAAGCAGGACCTCTGAACTCTACAAAGGACAAACTTCACAAAGACTCAGCTCTAAAGCTCCATAGAAGCTTATTACATCAGAGGTGGTTTGGCTTCATCTCAGCAATTCATCAATTCCTATTTGGAATCAGCTGTTTTTCCTGAACACCCATTAGGTTGATCTAATAGGTCACTGTGAGAAAAAAAGATGATGATTTCAAGAATAATGTCATGATATTTTGGGGAAGAAGATGTAAGATCTAGAAAAAAGTCAAGATATTTTATGAGAATAAAACTCTGTTGTACTGTTGTGTGGTTTAGACTACTAGCCTTAGGTATATTTGTGATTTAGGTCTAAATAAACAAAACAGATTTGAGCTGACTAGAAAAAAATCATAATATTATCAATATAAAATGTACATAATGAGAACAGAAGGCACATAATTATAAGAAAAGTGTAATTTTAAGAATCACAATTAAAACAATATAACATTGAGAAAACATCAATATTACCAGAACATTGATAATATGAAAATAATATTCATAATACATTATGAATATCTAATATACTACAAAATTAAAATTAATATTATATTAAAACAATATTAGGAGCATAAACTCAATGTTTTTTTGGGGGGAGGGGGGGTTTCTAAATATTCCAGTAATAAAAGTCTTCATATTGCAGGCATAAAACTGATTTTATGAAGGAAACTTTCACAAATGCTAAAATCTATTATAATGCTGAAAAAAAACTTAGAATAATTTTTGGTAGAAGACGATTCACCTGTCATCCAAGAGGCTTCATCAGTTCTGTCTGAGGTGGCGAGCAGGAGGTATTTATCCCTCCCTATAGACTGACTATTTACAAACAAGTTCTTAAATATGCATCTTGTAACAATAAACTTTATTGTTCAAATAACTCAATAATAGAGCTTTGCCCTGTAAACTTACTTTATTCTTCTAAAATTACCACTTTTTTTCTCAAAATATTTCACCTTTTTCTAGAAATTAAATTTTCTGTAACAGTGACTCTAATCTTGCGTTGTAAGTTCTGGCTCAGACTAAGGTGTGGGGTGCATTTAGCTCACCATGAACAACAGGTCCCCTATGTGTAGCTGGATGACCCCTCACCTTCTTATGATGTTAGCACTGTATGCGAGAGCACGATGAGTATAGGTAAAATAAGATGAAGCAGTCAATCAGAAGGATGGTGTAGAAACACCTCTGCGTGTGCAAGCTTCGACCCCTCTGAAAGCGAGTCAGTAACACAGCCAGCAGTAAAAAGAAGGTGGCAGTGTTCAGAAGGAGGAAGAGTCTTATGTAAGAGGCTGTGCTGGGGAGACCCTCACTCCCTGCTGTGGCCACCATATGAACCTCTTTGAATCTGCGGCCCTTGACAAAACCGCCCTTTCTGATTTTGCGGCTGTCTGTATAATCCATAAAGGCCCATGAGTCTGCATCTCCCTCTTCTGGGCTGTCCTCATACGTATGCTTTGAAGTCCTCTGTCTCTCCTTCTTCTCATTCACTTCAATCTGTGCAAAAATGTCAGGTAGACTCTCAGAAAGCTTCTCCCCAAGGTTCACTTTCTTCCCTCCTTTACCCTTGGCTTGCTTCTTGGACATAGCAAACATCCTCTCAATGATTTCATCTGTCTTCTTTTTGTCGGAGAACTGGAGGAGGCGCTCTGCAGTTTTATGGAAGCTGGCACTGTTGAGAACCTGTCCGAGGATGTGTCTCTCCATCTGCTGGAAGACGGGCTTGACATGCTGGAGGTTGTCCTCCATCACACTGATGTACTCCTCTACTTCCTCTGGTGAACTGTCCACCACAGCCGCCGCCTTCTCAAATACGATCTTCTTGTGGTCCAGCAGCACCATGGCGAACAGAGGCTTGGTGGGGACCTCTCCGGTCAGCAGGTAGATGGTGTAAGTGTGGTCTTTGGTGGCCAAGTAAATATCTACCCTCCGGTCATCACCACGCAGGGTGAAGCTCTGTACATCCACCCCTGGTCCAAAAAAAGTGTAGGCCACCCTCGTATGAGGGTATCTCAGTGGCATTGTGACATTCACATAGTTCGAGCCATTATACAGGTACCCTCGAGGGTAATTCCAATAGCCCATCACGCCTTTGTTACTGTAGTTTGTGTCATCCATCCAGAACATCTTATACTTGTCCTCACCATGTGATACAAATGCTCCATGAATACCATCTACTTTTGTACTCTGGAATGACAGCTCCATGTTGTGAAAGAAGGCACTCATGGCCTTGGTTGGGCTGTCAGGATCTAGGTGGATGTGGTCCACAAGGAGTAGGAGCTGTGGGTGGAGAAGGAGCAGGTTCCTCTGAAAGTTCTTGATCTTCAGTTCTGGATTATAAGCGGAGCGTCCCTCACCACGGATGAAGACCATTCCCTGTCTCTCCATAGCCACTTCTACTCTTCCCTGGGCATCGGCTGCCAGCCCCACCTTGTACTTCAACCATTTAGAGTCGCAGGCTTCTGTAACCTGTCCAGCCCATGGCTTAAAACAGCTCCCTGAGACAGTTGAGCCAAACAACACTCCATTGTTCAACAAAGTGTACTTGGGTCCGTATAGTGCCTCTGTGATAAATGGGACACCATTGGGTGCAAAGGTGAAAGAATTCTGATCTGGGTGCTCGTGGCCAGCGTTAAAGTTCCTCCACCCTTTGATCCACTCTTTGTACTTAGCCTTGTGAACAATGTCAAAGATGGCGCGTCCTCCCAGCTTCCCTGACTTGAAGGAGACAAAGGTGTGGTTGGTGTCTGCAGGTAAAGCACTCCCGTACGTGACCACGCCCCAGTCCTCAAAATAGTGGAGCTGGGGTGTTCCGAAATCTGATGGGGGCTTGGGAGTCAGGCCTGGGTCATACCTGCAAAACCAATAAGACGACTTCCATAAGATGGATTAAGCACTTACAGTATACACATATGATTCAAACTGATAAATATTGTCAAATATTATCAATTTGAAGGCATTTCAGAAGGTAATTTGTTATGATATTCGTAAACATTCACAACAGACCCATCTGAATGTGTAAACATTTTTTTGACTAGTATTAACTTTTACATCAACCAGAGAGGCAAAATGTGAAAGTTCATTTCATTTTGACCCCTAACATCAACAGTGACATATAAAACATCAATGTCAAGTATGCTAACTGAATATTGCATATTTTAAGCTTTTACTGGAACAGTTTTATTTTTGATGCAAAACATGAGTCGATCCATGGCTCAAAAGCTATGATCTGAACAGAACTGTGAGTTTTCTGATCTGTTGCACCTCTGTCAGACAGTTCAACCATCTGACAAGCAGCTTGGTTTAAGTAAAGGAATCCTGAAACTTTAAGTCAACTTTAACACTTAACTTACTGGGTTCAGTTCAGAGGTGCCCTGGTGCGTTTGCCTGTTTGGTCTGGTGCAAAGCCGTCTATAAAACTCTAGTGTTGACCAAAGAATAGAAAATATGTGATTGTCAGGATATTGGAGGCTTATTAAATCTATCTAGTGATCAAGGAAGAAATCTGTATAAGCAAGCTATATAATTATCTATGATGTGATAAGATGCAATTAAGTGGTGTGTGGTTGCAGTCTGTCTCCAAAGTTTTTACTTCTGAGGCCATATTACTTGATGTTTACTCCTCCTGGTGAGGTTGTAATAAGTCACTGTGAACAGCAGATGCACCACAACTAAGAGGCATCAATGTATCAATTTTTCCTTGGTTTGGAACAAATGAACCAAACTATAGGAGGGAACGTGACCGAATGTTTCATTGAACATTATGAAAATCAGTTTGGCAGCTTACCAGATGAACTCTGTGTGCAGAGTACACCAGCGCTGGCCCTTTCCAGCTTGCCCTGGCCCTTCGATCACCCTGTTTTGATGAATCAGATCTGCCAGCCAGTTTCCACTGCCATTACGCAACACAAAGCGGTCCAAGAAGACCAGCTGGCTCTCCGGTCCATAGAACCAGTTGTAGTTGGAATCTGCAATGGCTACAGTCCGCTGAAATCCTAGTGAGACAGTGAAAACAAAGTAGCCATCATGCAGAAACACATTGCAAGTAATGGGAAAGACGAGACAAATAAAACGATGTACTGACTCATTTTGAAGTTTGTGCTGCCAAAAATGCATTACAATATGACCAAACAAATCTTTGATTTGTTGTGAACTCCTACACACTACCACACAGAGTTCAGTACAAAATATGGGGCCTGCGGTCATAAATATGTTACAAAAGCACCCCCTTCTAACAAGGACCTCAGTCTCTTTTGCTGTGACCCTTCCGTCATCCAATAAACTCTTCAACTGCCTTGAGTGCTTATACTTCAAGTGACATCTCAGACTCCTTCACAATGGAAATAAGTCATATTACTTTTGTGTTTAATCCCTGACAGTGCTTTAGCCTAACTATACTAAACCAAATCCTTCATTTAGGTCTGTGATGGTCATCGGCCAAAATGCGGAGTGAGCTCTTCTACAGTAAATACCTTAGGACTGTTTTGCTTCAGTCTTTCACCTTTTCTGAGCATGCAGATTAGGTTTACCAAAAAAAAGCTACAACCCTTTCTACTGCACATACCGAGGAGTCCTGAGGTTAGTCTGTACATCTTAGAGTATTATCAGGCTGTAAACAACACTCATTAGTTTATCACCAAGACAAAGCATCTTCTTGAATGAAAATCTTCAAGGACTCTTGCCATCCCCTGAATCGTCTCCTACAGTTCCTGCTGTGAGAGTAATGGTACAGAGTCCCCTATGCATAGGAAGCTGCAGGTGAGTTTTTACTTTTGTGCAAACAAAAACGGGCCACAAAGCTGTTTTGATTTTATTTTGAAGTGACAGCATTGTCTTTTGGTTTGACTGGTTTTTAACTTCTTTCTCTACTTACACTTCCACAAGCTTGACATTTCTTTCAATTTTGACTTTTCAGTTGCTACTTTATTTTCTTTCAGAGCTTCAACTTCAGCTTCAAATTCAGTTCCTTTAACTGCTTCATTTTCAGTCATTACCAGCTGTTTTAAATGTTTTTTGTTTGTTTGTTTTTTTTAGCAAAAGTAAGCAGACACTGTATTTCCTAAAATGGTGCCTTTTTACAGTTAGTTACAGCTGATTACCATTTGCTTCCTCTCAACTTTCTGCAAACACACAACCAAGAATCCACACAGTCAGCAAGAGTACAGCAATCATCTGAGCTGTTAAAGGGGAAGATTTGGATAATCTGGCCTTATCTTCCTGTCCTGGTGGAAATGGAAAGCTACTATTGTGGCTCTGGATTGGAGGCTCGTCTGGCTGGTGTAATTAGAGCTGCTTTCTGAGTGCAATAGTGTCACTCTGCCACAACACAGAAAAAGTTGGCAGGGGGATGTGAAATGTCCAAGCCTGACCTAGGGGCCCCTCTTCTGCTTCTGCCCTCCCCCTGACCTTGAGACAAAACCTCCAGATCTCTGCAGGTCTCAGCTCCACTGTGAAAGCCATCCAAGAAGATAACAACTCCACACATGCATACCCCATATCAGTTCAGAGGACACGCTACTCTCCAGTGTGGCAACCTACCGTAAGGTCATTTTCATGCCTAAGCTAACATATCCAACTTTAGGCACAGAACATTCTAGTGAGGACTGCCTAGTGAGTAAGGGTGTGTCTGCCAGTCATAGTTAAGTAAACACTTGTTCACAGATCACTGACTACAGTCCTCTGGCAGACTAAGTACCACTTTGATGAAAAGTGTATCATATAAAGCAGCTTTAAAAAGAAGTAAACAACTGAGCTGTTTACTGTCAGCCACAGCAATTGATATGACAGTTACCGGGCAGAATAGTCCTGTAGAGGAAGGCGAAGTGCTTAAGGAGCCATGGGTGGTCGAAGTGGCTGATGGCAAAGTGGCGCTGTACCAGGAACATGTACTGAAACAGAGAGCGGCTGGTATAGGTCCCATAGGCTACACCTTCATACAGGGAGCCATCGGTCACATCCTGAAGAAGGACCATAGACTTCTCCATGATGGACAGCACCTGCTTGGTCCATAGGTAGGCCTCTTGAAGGTAGCCTGGAACACAGAAAGTTGAGCTGGTATTACAGGTGAAATACAGTCTGATACATAAATTAGACTAAAGTTTAGTGTAACAGTTTTCCACTGTTGTAGACTTTAGATTGTAATTCTCTTTAGTTTTACTTTGCTGAAAATAGTTGAGAAACATAATCCACTCCAGAGAACATTAGGTCTATGAGATAAGTTACTGTTGCATGGGAATGCAGGACAGAGTCAATCTCACATCTCCATTAAAATACTCTGGTGTGTCAAGTCTTTGCATGTCAATTCATATTGATTTGATGGCTGTCTGGAATATGACAAAGAATATAGGAGAGCATGAAGAGCACATTTCTCCCAGGTTTTTTTAGGGGAGATTTTCCTTATCCAATTTGAGGGTCCAATGACACAGGGTGTTGTATGCTGTACAGATCGTTTAGCCCTCTGAAGCAAATTTGGGATTTGCCATATTGAGCTACTGTATATAAATTAAAAAATGACTTGCAATGGATTGTCATGATGTGTATTGGAAAAGTATGAACAGATATAACAGAATACTTTCAAATGTTGACATTAACTATAGGTAA